TCCAGCTTGACGCGTGCTTGCAGCAGGCTCTGATAAAAGTTAGCTCGTAGCTAAGAGCATTGGGCTAATCTAACAGATCTCGTCTCAATTTAAGAAGAGAAATTAACAGCTCGCAGAATTTTGGACAACAACAACCAAACTGAAACAAACTAAACTAAAAAATCAAAGAGTGAAACTCCACGACAGTCTGATGTCAGGACGAGTCGTTAGTCTGCTGCTGTGTCAGGTCGACTCGAGCTGGAGGTCAGAGTGCAGACTCGACCCTGAAACCAGGAAGAGCTCAGAGAGGAGCAGCCCGTCCGCCCCTGACCTCCGCACACTTCCTAACTCACAGATGTTTGGAGATGAAAGGAGAGCAGCTTCCACTTTTCCACGGACGCCGTGACCGCCGAGGAGATAAAAGACTTTTTGTTTTCCTCTTCTTAATGCTCAGAGAGCGAGACGACGGCAGAAACACCTGGAACCTGCCGATGAGCGTGTTATTAGAGGAAGGTTTCTCCGCCCGCCCCGTCTCCTGTCATTAATCCTCACATCGGACAGATTAATCATCCAGCATGTCATCTCGACATCAAAGACTGAAGCCTCCGCACAGCTGCCGCCTTTTATTCAAGGGGAGAAGAAGAAGTTTGTGCAGGAAATGAGATGATAGGAAAAGTTATAATCCTCTTAGATTTTATAATTTTATAGTTAATATACTTCTCTATTCCTCTTCCCTCCTTTAATCATGACGAGTGTCGCTCGTTTCCTCACAGCCTGAAGATTCAACACAAATGATAATTACATCACATGATTAAGAATCTTATAATATTTGATTTTTAAACTTTTGTATGAATCCAATTAAAACTCAAATGATAACGATGGCTGTTGGCAAAATGTGCAGACAGACTCCAGCACAGGAAGGATGATCGACATGTTCCTCATAAATAAATCATAAAGTCCATCCTGTGTAAATGTGTCTCTGAGTCCTGAGGGAGAAGCTCGAGTCCCGCTGGCTGTGCAAGGCTGCACGGTTGTGCAGTGGTTAGCTCTGTCCCCTCACAGCGAGGAGGTTCCTGGTTTGAATCCCCGTCTGTCAGGAGTCTCTCCGTGTGGAGGTTTCTGGTTTGAATCCCCGTCCTTCAGGAGTCTCTCTGTGAGGAGGTTCCTGGTTTGAATCCCCGTCCTTCAGGAGTCTCTCTGTGAGGAGGTTCCTGGTTTGAATCCCTGTCCTTCAGGAGTCTCTCTGTGAGGAGGTTCCTGGTTTGAATCCCCGTCCTTCAGGAGTCTCTCTGTGAGGAGGTTCCTGGTTTGAATCCCCGTCTGACAGGAGTCTCTCTGTGAGGAGGTTCCTGGTTTGAATCCCCGTCCTTCAGGAGTCTCTCTGTGTGGAGGTTCCTGGTTTGAATCCCCGTCTGACAGGAGTCTCTCTGTGAGGAGGTTCCTGGTTTGAATCCCCGTCCTTCAGGAGTCTCTCTGTGAGGAGGTTCCTGGTTTGAATCCCCGTCCTTCAGGAGTCTCTCTGTGTGGAGGTTCCTGGTTTGAATCCCCGTCCTTCAGGAGTCTCTCTGTGAGGAGGTTCCTGGTTTGAATCCCCGTCCTTCAGGAGTCTCTCTGTGTGGAGGTTCCTGGTTTGAATCCCCGTCCTTCAGGAGTCTCTCTGTGAGGAGGTTCCTGGTTTGAATCCCCGTCCTTCAGGAGTCTCTCTGTGAGGAGTCTGCATGTTCTCCTTGTTCATGTGTGGGTTCTCTCCTGGTTCTCCGTCTTCCTCCCACAGTCCAAACACATGCTCGTTAGGTTAACTGCTGACTCTAAATTGTCTGTAGGTGTGAATGTGAGTGTGTCTGGTTGTCTGTCTTATATGTCAGCTCTGTGATTGGCTGGTGAACAGTCCAGGGTGTAACCCCGCCTCTTGCAAAATGACAGCTGGGATGAGCTCCAGGCCCCCCCGGGACCCCGATGGTATAGATAATGGATGGATGTTTACTGACAGGCTGCTGAGTCACCACAGGAAATGTTCTTTTTCTGAAATAGACAAATACTAAAATACTCATTATAACATTATGAGCTCTGGTGTGGACCTGGTGTGTGTGTGTGTGTGTGTGTGTGTGTGTGTGTGTGTGTGTGTGTGTGTGTGTGTGTGTGTGTGTGTGTGTGTGTGTGTGTGTGTGTGTGTGTGTGTGTGTGTGTGTGTGTGTGTGTGTGTGTGTGTGTGTGTGTGTTGTGTGTTTGTGTGTGTGTGTGTGTGTGTGTGTGTGTGTGTGTTGTGTGTCTGTGTGTGTGTGTGTGTGTGTGTGTGTGTGTGTGTGTGTGTGTGTGTGTTGTGTGTGTGTGTGTTGTGTGTCTGTGTGTGTGTGTGTGTGTGTGTGTGTGTGTGTGTGTGTGTGTGTCTGTGTGTGTGTGTGTGTGCAAAATAAAAAAGGAATCGATTTGCAGAAAAACTTTCAGCAGAAAGAATGAAAAAAGTCGATAATAAAAGAATCACAGTTGAACAAAGGAGGAGGAAACGTGCAGAGTATTTTTAGATCTGTGTTTATAGGTAGAGGGGATTAATACACATACACACACAAACACACACACACACACACACACACACACACACACACACACACACACACAAAAGGGCGGTGTCTAAAGTGCGGTTTCAGTTTCTGCAGACTGTGATCTCGTCCTGGCGGCGGCAGGGAGAGACTCTTCAGCTCCTTGTCAATCAGGAGAAAGCTTTTAGCTTGGCGAAGTCTCTGTGGTTTCACTTCCTGCTCATTAAAACCTGAAACAATGTGGGGGGGGGGCAGAGGAATGTCATCACGTCTCTGGAGACTTCCTGAAGCTCAGACACACAGAGACTCTGATTACTGAGGAAGGAGAGGAACAACAAACTCTGGATTCTCAGCATCCTTCTTTATGAAATAAAGATCGACATGTCTGTTCAAACATCGGCGCTAACATTCAGAAACAGTCATCAGAGACCAATGAAACGCTGTGAAATGTTAATCTGTTAGAGGTGTATTACTTAGTAATTAATTAAAATGGACTAAAACAGTGGTACTCAGCCTCGTTAGACTTTAGAGCCACATTGACCAAAAAATATTTCTGCAAGAGCCACAATCAAAAAAACCTCTTTCTTTCCTAAAATATGTTTTGGAAACACAGCAAAGAATCATTTCTGCTGAAAATGTGAAATAATGACTTTTTTTTTTCTCCAAATAGTCCCAAATGAGTCGCAACTAGTCCCAATGTGGCTCGAGAGCCTCGGGTTGAGTATCACTGGACTAAACCTTTGTTTTGTTGAGTACCCTTTATATTTCCAACAGTTATCAGAGACAGAGAAATCCTTCATTTTAGAGTTCTAAGGGGACGTGTCTTGTTGCGGCAGCCGCCATGACAGACGCAGCATGTTTATCGCTGCCATGGAAACACTGGATTTTACGTCAAATTCCACTAATTAAGGAAGCATGAGCTGGTGCTGAAAGCTGCCGTACTGTTGCTGTTTGAGCCGCTGTGATTAAAAAAAACTCGGATACATGAGCTCGTCTTCTCATTCTCATCCTCCATCCTTCCTCCTCTACCTGGTTCATCATGACTACGGTCACCTCAGAGGTCGTTTTCATCCGGGGTGGGAGGGTGGAGTAGCAAAGAGAAGCACTCCCATGATTTCCCACCAGCCTCGATGTCATCTTTTGTTATTGTTTTGATTGAGAGCCCCCTAGTGGCCACAAAAGACACGTCCCGTTACAACTACAAAATGAAGGATTTCTCTGGCTTTGATAACTGTTTTAATTAAGTTATATATTTTAGTGTCAGACAGACTACAGTGCAAACTAAACTTCAGCTTCAGACCTAGAATCATAAATAAACAAATAACTGATTTTAAATCATATTTAAACGACGGGAACACGTTTTAGTGACAGTCAAGGTGAAGAAAAACTTAAACACACGGAGAGATGAAAAACCTCCTGAGGAACCTGAGAGCCTCCTGCTGTCTCCTCCCCGAGGAATCATATCGATTTAATTTGATATACAATAACATCGACCCTGTCTCAGTCTGATACACAAGATGTGCAGCGGGGTCGTCTCAGGATTTATGGATTTACATCACTGAGGGACAGAAATAAGCAGCCGAGGCTTTTAGAGGAGAAACACCGAGACACTTTTCACCGATGTTTCCTCTGAGTCAGTGATCAGGAGGAGATGAGGCGGTGGAGGATCTGGCCTCCCGCTCTCTGACGCACCGTGGGCCGCCTGGTTAGCTTATTGATTATTGTTTCATCCTCGGATCTAAAAAGCATCCATTAACAAACACTGAGTGTGTTTACATGGACTTCAGTATATCAGTTATGAACCAAGCTGTGGCCTCCGGTGTTTGAAAATGAAGCCGACGCTGAAGTGTAAAATCCTGCAGTTCCTTGAGTGTCCACTAGAGGCTGGCTGCAGAAGCACAGGAAGTCACATACACACCCATTCTAAAAAGTCTGTTTTTACAGCAGAGATGAACATGTTTACAGCCTGGTTCAAAAAACCAAATAGGTGTGATTAGCTCATGTCTGGATGGACACACACTGTACGGGGGGTGAATGTTTTGATGACTCATCAGTTTTGATTTGATGAAGGATAAGAGTTATTCACAATAAGGCGTGTAGCTGACCTGATTGACAGGTGGGCGCGGTGTAACGGTTTGTCAGGAGGCTAAAAACTTTCACATTGGCTTCAATTTTCAAGACCGGAGGTTGCTTCTTGGTCCAGCATTCATCTCCAGCTTTCGATAATACACACTCACCTGGATGGCTTTTCTGCCTTAATATACCTGAAAAAGCTTTTCTGGATTACTCGACATCTTTGTCACGGTGTTAACATGTTCAGGAGACGATTTTGTTTGTTCAGTTTTGTAAAATTTGACCTCCTTTGGCAGCAGAATCTGAGACTCTGTGATTAAAAGACACATGTTGCAATGCTTTCTGGGAAATGTAGTAGATCTTACTTTTGGACTGAAACCTCGTTCTGTTTCTCTTTTTCTTTCTTCTCAGTGATGTTTGTGTGCTGCTCGCCTGACGTCTTCAGGAAGCTGATGGTTGAGTTTCGGCGTGCAGATCTTCCCCATGAGCAGTACGTCTTCTTCTACATCGACGTGTTCGGAGACAGCCTGAACTCCAAACACGGACAGCCGTGGGCGCGCGGGGACGAGGACGACGCCATCGCCAGGGAGGCCTTCCAGGTAATTCAGTTCATCTCTGAAGCCAGACGTACACTGTGCAGTCACGGGCCGCTTTAGACAGTTTTAAGTCATCGACTGATTTTTAGAGTCAGGAGGAATTTCAGCCTCATCATGCGTCATTAGTCGTGCAGTCGTTGTGTCATGGCCCCTGTCACACCTGAAGCTGCTGTCAGTGCAGACGGCGCTCTTCATGTGGAAGCCGGTTGTGTTTAAAAGCTGGGATGCGGACAATGCACCAATCAGGCATGCGCCCTCCCTCCTCCAGCCAGTCACAGAGCTTCACCTGTGGACCAGCAGCAAAGATCCACACACGCACACAGAAGTCTCACTCTCACTCAGACACAGACACGCTCCACAAGAGACATAAACCCAACACGAGCAGGGCTGTCAGCATGTTGGATATTTTAGTCATATGACTGCACACACTCGCACAGTGAGAGCAGAGCCACGAGCAGATTCCCTCACTTCAGGACTTCCTCCCCCCTCCAGATTTGAGCTGTAACAAACTGACATGCAGTGTCAGAAATCACCATAGCAACAGCAGGCATGCCTGTTTAATCACGTCTTCCCTCTCTGATCATGAAAGAAACTTTGGCAGGAGATATCTGCGGACGTCCAGCTGAGAGGGAATACTCGTTATGATAATGAGGCTGTTTTCTGTTTTCACCCGGTGTGTGTATCTGAGGCGTGCATATGAGACAGACACACACAAACAGTATGTGTTGACAGCTGTAAATTCTCCTCGCAGATTAAACTCCGTGCACGACAGAGTGAGCTGACGTCACACCACGACCTTTCTGCAATCGCACGCCGATTTAAAACACATGTTCAATTTTTGAACTAACTTAAAATCCAGATCTGACTTCATCTTAATCTTTCCCATCCATCACACACAGTCCCAGACATCACTCATTAAATTCTACCCATAGTTAAGGGAATAATCTATCCCATCATGTTCCAGTTTTCACCTTGTTCACCTCAAATTAACGAGATAATCAAGATCCGTTTTCACACA